GGCAAGGATTACTATTTAACACTCCAAAATAAAGCAATTGTATTGTGGTAAAATATGTCAGAATATTTATTTTATTATAAATGACCTGAAGTCAAAAGGCCAAATGATTTGGATATATAAAACGCATAAAGGCTGTTTCTTTTCCATGCAAATCAGTATAGTGTGTGAATTACTTAGATGGCAACACTTGCTAATCCCAGGACTTGTGTTTATGTATAAATACGTGTTGGATTACCTCACATCTCATTATTAAGTAAGTCATCATTCAGTTTAAGATATGGGGCCAAAAAATGGAGTCCACAACATACAAGTGTGGGAAGAGCAAACCAGACCACCTATTACAATGCAGTCTGAACCCTGCCACACGCACAATGGAGGACCTTCTTGTAGCAACACCACAGGCACTCCAAGTGGCCAGCTACTGGTCAAAGGACAATTAGTATAATGCCAAGTTTTTAAACTTTGTGTGTTTTACAGCTGTATCCTTGGTTCGCTCCTGATACAATAAATAAAACTATTCCATTTGAAGTTCTAGATCTATGTAATGAAAAATTATGTTTTGTGTAAAAAATATTTTATTAAGGATATTATTGCACAAGAGTCCCTATCTTGCAATGTTTGAACAACACAGGATAGCAATTACCAGCATGATGGGGGTGACACTGCACAGGCACTGGCACTGCATTACTGCAATGCCTCAGCAGTGCAAAGCCGCACTTCTGGATGAGTGGCACAACTCCAGCCCCCCACTGTGCTGGTTCCCCATTTGTGTGTTTAGTTTTAATGTAGGCACTTTGCGATATCAGCTCCCCTGAAATTACACTGCACACCTAGAAGTGCAGCTTCTGCCAGGGCAATTGTAAAGTGCCGGATTAAAAAAAATATTTTAAATTCCACCTAGGAGAGCAGAAGATGATGCTACAGATGTGTCTAGATTCATCACATGAGATAAATTCCAGGATGGTAGCATGGTTAGAAACATATCCCTGATATGGGAAGGTGGCAGATTGGCAATGGATATTGCATTACATTGTCTGATAGCTACAATCACCAGAAGTTATGGTCCTGCTACTGTGCTGTGCTGTTTCCTTCTTTGTGCAATAAAGTCCTAAACTTCTGATAGAGTAAACTTGTCTGTTAGGAGAAAGAGCTAAAAAAGGTAAGTTGGGATTTTTCAAGCACAGGCAGTCCCCAAATTACGAATTTTGCTACTGTTAACCACTCTGAGTCGCCCGAGGGCTGAGAAGAGCAGTATACAAATATAGTAAATAAATAAATAAATTCTGTAGGTTTGTTCTTATGTTGAATTTGCATGTAAACCGGAACAGGTACCTATTTTAAGTGTAACTCAATCCAAATGTATATATGTTCAAGCTTTGGATAGCATAAGGAAGGGTTAACACCCTCCACAACAAAATGACTTGTTGTGGAAACAAGGTTTAATTTTACTGCTAAACATGAAGGTTTTTTTATTATTATTTGAAAAGTTGCTGGCACTTGCAAGGTGACAATCCTTGGATGGGGAGCATTATGATTCTTTAGAAGTTGCCATATTGTGTCTTCAAAAGAAAACGTTTTCAACTTGCTTTGTATCAGTCGAGGATATAATCTTAGAACCACTAAGAGCAGTTTTTGTGATTGTAGAGATACCGCACTTTGATATTGCTACATAACATCTGCTTTGAAGGTTTTTTTTTATAGTATCTGTTTGTATTCATGGCCTAGAAAGAATGTAGACACAACAGACACACACAATTTACAGTAAACAAATGTTTCCAGCCATGCCTTAAGTCATTTATGTTACTCAGTTAGATGACAAACATAACACGCTCAAAATTCAGTTCAGGAACAGTATTTACCTATTTTCATATTGTTAATTTCAGAAATGTTTCAGACATGTTGTTATTCTCTACCCTCTTTGCAGCGGATCAGCCCTTGGAATTCCATTGGCAAATATTTCACAAAACATTACCATGTCATCATTCTAATATATATGTTTAATGTATTAATTATGAAATTAATTATATGAAAGAGAGCAAAAAAAGAACTAGAATAAAAATGTCAGTAGAACTATCGCCATCAGAAAATGAGTACTTTTTGGTCAATAAAATAGCATTGCTCATAACTTATTACCCTTCATCTAATAAGAAAAGCTTTGTTGGAGATTTGATTTTCCTTATGTGTGGCTATTTTGTCCATAGTAAAAAAAATCAAGAATTGGAATTATGTTTCTAAATATTATTTTCTTAGCCATTTTTAATCTACTGATATAGAGCAGTGGTTCCCAACCTTTTTTTTTTTTGACCAGGGACCACTTTGACCAATTTGACCAGGGGCCACTCTTCAACATTAGTACCAAAAGGTTACAAATCAGTTCTTGGTCAACTTTAGATTCGGTTTGGTTATTTGGGGTGCTCATTCAGAAAAATTGCATTGGCTAGACCACATCAGCTCAAGTTTCTGATACAGAACACATGCCATCCAGTAGTCGCCACCTGCTCGCCCACAGAAAACCATATTTTATTATCTAGAGATGATGTGGTCTATCCAATGCAATTTTCTGAATCAGCTCCCCAAATAACCTCAGGTGCCACATGGAATGACTCTGCTCAGGGGGAGGGAGGAAGAGGAGAAGCAGCAGTCAGGAAGCTTGTTGTCATGCCTTTCGTGGGTTTTCAGCTTCTCCCCTCCTGATATCACCATTGCCTCAGCACTCTAAGAGGGTTTTGTGAGACCAATTGCTCTCGTTGCAATGGTGTAGTAACGGTGAGGCTGCAGACCATATTTTAGCTCTTGGGAACCATTGGGAACCATTACCTCCACAGACCACAGGTTGGGAACTACTGATATAGTAAGTATTGATACAGTATATAGTGCACACATTTATGATTGCAGAGATGCCAGTGCTACATTTTAGAGAGCAAAACCAGTGCAAAGAAAGAAATTTAAAGGTGAAAAGTTAGGAGAAAGTTGTTTTATTGTAAGTAGTAGCTGTTTCGTTAATCTGTGTGCATCTTTACCCTGATTAGCAAATATATAGAATGACCATGTGTGTTTACGGTTACTGTAGGCCTGATCCATCTTCAATATATACCGTATATACTCGAGTATAAGCTGACCCAAATATAAACCGAGGCACCTAATTTTACCACAAAAAACTGAGAAAATGGATTGGCTCGAGTATAAGCCCAGGGTGGGAAATGCAGCAGCTACTGGTAAATTGCAAAATAAAAATAGATACCAATTAAATTACATTTAATTTAAGAAGGCTGAAAGGAGATATGATAGCCATATATAAATATGTGAGAGGAAGCCACAGGGAGGAGGGAGCAAGCTTGTTTTCTGCTTCCCTGGAGACTAGGACGCGGAACAATGGCTTCAAACTACAAGAAAGCAGATTCCATTTGAACATTAAGAAGAACTTCCTGACTGTGAGAGCCGTTCAGCAGTGGAACTCCCTGCCCTGGAGTGTGGTGGAGGCTCCTTCTTTGGAAGCTTTTAAACAGAGGCTGGATGGCCATCTGTCAGGGGTGATTTGAATGCAATATTCCTGCTTCTTGGCAGGGGGTTGGACTGGATGGCCCATGAGGTCTCTTCCAACTCTTTGATTCTAAGATTCTATAATTGAGGAATCAGTAGGTTATATATTTTTGAATATTTACAAAAATGGTAATTTAAGATAAGACTGTCCAACTTTGATTAAATTATTATTTACCTTCTTCAATGTAAATGTGCTTACGTATCCTTCCAATAATAATAGAGTAACTTAATGCATGTAATAACAACAATAATAAAAAGAGTAAAATAATGAATGTAGCAATAACAATTATACAGTAAAATAATAAATGTATAATAATAGAGTAAAATGATAAATGTAATAATAACAAATAGAATAAAATAATAAATGAAATTAAAATAATAATAATAAACAGAGTACAATAATAAATAACTTGACTCGAGTATAAGACAAGGGGGACTTTTTCAGCCTTAAAAAAGGGCTGAAAAACTAGGCTTATACTCGAGTATATACAGTACATGACAAATGAGGCGATAGTCTGGGTAGGTAGATATGGATGACAGATGACTACTTCAGCTCAACATCCCGGTATTATTCATACCAAGCATACTTGAAATTGGCACCTGTCACAATAGCTGCTTCTACACAGCCACATAATCCAAATCTGAATGTGAATTAAAGAAATCCAGTTCTGCCCCAGAGAGTCTACATGCACCCTGGGAACAGTGAAAAAACTACGGCAGCATCCACAAAGCTCCCTTTGTGTTAAATCGATCTAACAGAATGACATAATTTGTTTTCTTACCCTGTTTGGAGAAATGTGCTGAACAGCAGCAGCCCATCGGATGGGAATCATCACCTTCCAACTCAAATACAAGAAGTGGAAAGTGATTTCTTCTTGGGAAGGAAGGAAAAAGGTGTTTGTTTACCTTCCTGAGAGCACCATATCTGGTTCCTTTATTCGAATTTTCAAGCAGTTGCGCTGTTTACATGAGTTCTGCACATGTTCCTCTCAAGTTTCTGCTCAGCAGCAACCGTACACTGATCAGCTGCAGCACATTTATTGCCAGTTTTGGACTTACTCCTGACCTTTTTTTTTACATGTTTTCATGTGGATTTGTGTTGCAGCATGCATTAGGGGTGTGCATTTTGAAGCCCCCCTATAATCCACATAATTTTGGAATTTTACAGCATGTGTAGATGGGGGCCAATATTTCCCATCTGTAAGCTGAAGAAATATAGGTTTAGCGACCCTTTTTGGGCTGTCTTTTTCACTTCACAAGTTCCCTAATATACCCTCTGACAGCAACAAAAGTTGTTGAGATAATACTTTGATTCTGGCATTTTAACATTCATATTCTTAACCTATATCATATAGTTAGATTAAAACAAAAACAATATGGACAAGTTGAAAACTTCTCTTTGAAAAGAGAGTCCATATGTTTAGATAGAGGTCATGCTTTTAAAAATGTTTTGATCATCATTTAGTCATGCGAATACATTTATTACAGTCACATTCTTTCTTTTAATGTGTCCAAATGGCAACAAGAGCCTGTATTTAGTTTGGCTCCTTCTCCTCTGAATTCCTTTACTATACATAGCTCTGCAGTCATGCTCACAGTTCTCTTAACAAGACGTGAAAGGAGACATCCTAAACTTAAACAGCTGCTCTTTTCCCAAAAGAAGACTGCTGAAATATTTTGAATACCACATGTAGCAGATCTTTGTTGGAAGAATAAAAGGACACTTTGAAGATCAGTTGTTACATACTTATAAAAAAAATCCTTACATACCGCTATGCAATATACTAATTTATCTGGAACTGAACAGTCATATATTTCAGTTTTTTAAATGCCTTGTCTTGTTCTTTAGAAGTAGGGAGTTCCACCTGTTGGTTTACTTGCGCTTAAAGGATTTATTTCGATCACAGTCGTAATGCCGATAAATCCAACAGTTTCACAATTCAGTATTACACATCAGTGAAAAGCAGCCTTTATCCTTGAATTCAAGTGACATGAAATTCTGAATGCAACTTCCCATTTACACCCTTTCCCATATATAGAACCTTCCTTTCACACATTCTTCTCCATCAATGTTTTACAGCATTCTCTCAGCTTTGTCAGATTGTTTTGTTATGAATGTGTGGGTGCATGCAGTTCACAGGAGCAAGTATTGTCTTTGACATCAAAACAATCAAGTTCAACACACTGAGTAAAATATGCAAAAGCTTGCCTTTATCTTCATTGTGAACACAGCTCTGCATGCATATCACCACCATTCACGATTGTTCTAGTTAAAGTAGGCACAATGTTGTCTCACCCATAACAAAACGTCTACAGTTCATATCCTGCCAAATGCCTTGGTTTCAATAACCAAAATGCCATCGTGGCAGAAGAGAGCAGTCAGATCTTTTGTTTCAACTCCATCAGGCAATTTGTATTGTCTAGTAAAGCTTCTGGCTATAAAGCCATGTTCATCCATCCTGGGTCCATGTTGAGCTTTGATCAGCAGCCAGCCTTCAAAGGTTTGAATGATAACATCTTCAGGACGGAACTGCACAACATCTAGTAGGACTTGAAATTTGGGTTTTTCTTCATTTGTGCTGTTCTGTGCTGTTTCCACTTCACCCTCATCTTTTGTCTGTGCAGCCACTGCTGGGCCTGGCAAGGCGTAGAGAGAATGGTTTAACTTGCATGATTCCAGATCTTTATTAGTAAAATACTCCTGATAACGTATGGGAGTTTCCACCCAGTGCCGTATAACTACTCCCTCCATTGCTGAAATAATGTTGATAATCTGCTGCTTTATTTTCTTTAGTAGGAAGAGTTCAGTCCACCAGTTGGAGCAATCCACACCCTTTCCAGTTGTATGTCCACATATAAAGTAGCTTATCAGCTGAGGTAGCTTGTCATTTTTAGCTCTGGCAGATACTATCTCTTCAGTGGGAGTGACTCAGATCCATGAGACGCGCTGGGTCTTTTAACGTGCTGACAATTGAGCCCTATTAATAGCACTGGTGCCAGGACTGCTTAGAGGTTTTCATTTTCATCACTTGGTATGACACATTTTATAGTTTCTCTTTTGCTGTTATTATGGCTATTGTTATGAATCAATATATATGTATATATTATGATAGACAAGTTTAACTTATTAAAAATGATTGCCCTATTGAGGAGGTTGAGTGGTATTGAGGAGAATATAACTTTCAAAGGCCATTTTAGTGTATTTAATGGTATTTATTTATTTATATCCCACTTTATCTCTCCAAAACAACTCACAATAAAAAAAATTACAATATAAAACATACAAATATACAATAATAAAATAGTATATCATTATATTATATTATATTATATTATTTAGAACTTTTATATCCTGTTTTTCTCTACCTCTGTGGAGGGACTCAGAACGGCTAACAAGTTGAAAACTTATAATATTATATATTATCAGTAGTAATTATATATATTAGCATAACTATATTAAAATATTATTATATATTATATTGTATTATTATATTGTATTACATTATAATATCAATATTATATGTATATACATTATATTATTAGCATAGCACAATATTAGTATTACATATTACTATAATGTACTATACCACTATACTGCAATATTATTAGTAATATTACATGTAATATATAATAGACAATTATTATATTATTAGATTATTATTATATTGTACTATATACCACTAAACTGTAATATTATTAGTAATATTACATGCAATATGAAACATGAAATTATTATGTTGTATTACCATTAGTATTGTGTTGTATTATATTGTATTATCAATATTATAGGTGTATACAATATATTATATTATTAGTACAGCACAATATTAGTATTACATATTACTATAATGTACTGTACCACTACACTGCAATATTATTAGTAATATTGCATGTAATATATAATAGACCATTATTATATATTATTATATTATACTATATTATTTTAACTTTTGTATTGCTCTTTTTAAACTGTGGATAGATACTCGCTGCCTTGAGTCCCCATGGGGAGAAAGGCAGGATATAAATAAATATGACGATAATAACAATAATAATGATGTATTGTCGAAGGCTTTCATGGCTGGAATCACTCAGTTCTTGTGGGTTTTTTCGGGCTATATGGCCATGTTTTAGAGGCATTTCTCCTGACGTTTCGCCTGCATCTATGGCAAGCATCCTCAGAGGTGAGGTCTGCTGGAACTGGGAAAAAAGGGGTTTATATATCTGTGGAATGACCAGGATTACATAGAATGAGAGTCGCCAGATGTACAAGCTGGGTTTAGAAAAGGCAAAAGAATGAGAGACCAAATTGCCAATATCTGCTGGATAATGGAGGAAAGCAGGGAGTTTCAGAAAAAACATCCATTTCTGTTTTATTGACTCTTCTAAAGCCCTTGACTGTGTGGATCATATTAAGTATGGCAAGTTCTTGGTGGTGTGAGGATACCAAGCCACCTTGTCTGTCTCCTGAGGAATCTGTACAAGGACCAAGTAGCAACAGTCAGAACTGGAACAACAGACTGGTTCAAGATTGGGAAAGGCGTACGGCAAGGCTGCATCCTCTCACCCAACCTTTTTAACTTGTATGCAGAACACATCATGCGATGTGTGGGGCTGGATGAATGCAAAGCTGGGGTGAAAATTGCTGGAAGAAACATTAACAACCTCAGATATGCAGATGACACCACTCTGATGGCCGAAAGTGAGGAGGAGCTGAGGAGCCTTCTAATCAAGGTGAAAGAAGAAAGCGCAAAAGCTGGGTTGCAGCTAAACGTCAAAAAAAACCAAGATTATGGCAACAAGAATGATTGACAACTGGAAAATAGAGGGAGAAACCGTGGAGGCCGTGACAGACTTTGTATTTCTAGGTGCAAAGATTACTGCAGATGCAGACTGTAGCCAGGAAATCAGAAGACGCTTACTTCTTGGGAGGAGAGCAATGACCAGTCTCGATAAAATAGTGAAGAGTAGAGACATCAGACTGGCAACAAAGATCCGCCTAGTCAAAGCCATGGTATTCCCTGTAGTAACCTACGGATGTGAGAGCTGGACCTTAGGGAAGGCTGAGCGAAGGAAGATCGATGCTTTTGAGCTGTGGTGTTGGAGGAAAGTGCTGAGAGTGCCTTGAACTGCGAGAAGATCCAACCAGTCCATCCTCCAGGAAATAAAGCCCGACTGCTCACTGGAGGGAAAGATACTAGAGACAAAGTTGAAGTACTTTGGCCACATCATGAGGAGACAGCAAAGCCTAGAGAAGACAATTATTCTGGGGAAAGTGGAAGGCAAAAGGAAGAGGGGCCGACCAAGGGCAAGATGGATGGATGGCATCCTTGAAGTGACTGGACTGACCTTGAAGGAGCTGGGGGTGGTGACGGCCGACAGGGAGCTCTGGCGTGGGCTGGTCCATGAGGTCACGAAGAGTCGGAGACGACTGAACGAATGAACAACATATCTGTGGAATGACCAGGGTGAGACAAAGGGCTTTTGTAAGTTGGGCTGGGTGTGAGTCTCCATTTGGAGCCATGGAGAAGAAGAATTCAACAGGTTCCTGGAACATCTTAACAGCATCCACCCAAACATCCAAGTTCACTATGGAAAAAGAAAAGGAAGGAAGACTGCCTTTTCTAGATGTCCTAGTCATCCGTAAACCAGATCAACAATTGGGTCACACCGTTTACAGAAAACCCACACACACAGATAGATATCTACATAAAAACTCCAATCATCACCCAAGTCAAAAAAGAAGCACCATTAAAGCCTTGGCAGACCGTGCAAAAAGAATCTGCGAACCCCACCTCCTCCAAGATGAACTGAACCACCTCAACTGGGCTCTCCAGGCCAATGGATACTCCACCTCAGACATCAGAAGAGCTGCAAGACCAAGAACAAGCCACGAGAGTAAAGATGAAGATCCACCCAGAGGAAAAGTGTTCCTACCATACATCAAGGGAACCACTGACCGCATAGGGAAGCTGATGAGGAAACACAACATACAAACTATATGCAGACCCACCAAGAAAATCCAACAACTGCTCAATTCAGCAAAGGACAAGAGGTATCCTCTCACCTCTGCAGGAGTCTACCGTATCCCATGCAGCTGTGGACAAGAAATCTACATAGGGACCACCAAACAGAGCCCAAACACACATCAAGGAACATGAAAGGCACTGCAGACTACTTCAACCAGAGAAATCAGCCATAGCAGAGCACCTGATGAACCAACCTGGACACAGCATTTTATTTGAGAACACAAAAATGCTGGACCACTCTCACAACCACCATGTCAGACTAAGCAGAGAAGCCATTGAAATCCACAAACATGTAGACAATTTCAACAGAAAGGAAGAAACCATGAAAATGAACAAAATCTGGCTACCAGTATTAAAAAATTCTAAAATTGCAACAGCAAAACAGCAGGGAGAAAAACAGGCAGGGACATCTAATCACCTTTCAAGAAGAGTTTGCTCCAGGCACTGTCAGCCCATTGTATGCTAATCAAGGTGGTCAGTGGAAAGACTCACACCCAGCCCAACTTACAAAAGCCCTTTGTCTCACCCTGGTCATTCCACAGATATATAAACCCCTTTTTTTCCCAGTTCCAGCAGACCTCACCTCTGAGGATGCTTGCCATAGATGCAGGCGAAACGTCAGGAGAAATGCCTCTAGAACATGGCCATACAGCCTGAAACCCCACAAGAACTGAATAATAATGATGATGATAAAATTATTACACAAGCATGTAGAATTTGCTGGAATCCTACCCAAACAGAAATTGTTTTATATATCTTGTAAGAATCTAACAGGGACATTTGTCTGATTTTAGTTTTTTATTAAAACAAACAATATGACTGGTCAGTTGCAGTCCATCTGCTTTACAGAAAATCTATCAGTTTTTTCTGTTGCAATGTATGAGTCTGCTTGTCTTGATTGCTTTTCCTGCTTGTTAGTTTGTAACTGGAAATTTGGGAAATACAGGTTTTGAATTTGAACATTCCTATTTCACAGATGGATTCCTAACACCGATCTGTATCCTTAAATATATGGTTATGTGCATAATAATCAGGTGAACAGATTAGTTCAATGTTAAACTACTTAGATACCCACATACATTTGACATGGAGACACAGAATATTATTCTGCATCTACTGAACAGACCTGCAGGCTTTGGTTTGTGTGTGTATACATTATATGTATTTAGACTATAGCAAGGGGTCAAATGCTCTGTATTAACCTTTTATGATTTCTCATGTGTGCCACTGTAAAGTAAGGGTGAACAAAATGTGGCCTTTAGCCTTCTTTGAAAAAAACCTTGAAGTTCCAGACACCTTTTTCTTGCAAAAAGAATTTTTTTTAAAAAAAAGTTTTTTTCCCCCTGGAAACTTCCAGAAGTGGAAATTCAGCTTTTGATTAGGTCACATCTGGCCCACAGGCCTTAGTTTGGCGATCCCTAATTTAGAGTAAGTCTATCTAGCTTTTCAGCCAGAAAAGTTTTCAGAGTGGTTTCTAAATTGTTAACTTAACAATTCCCTGTCCTTAGACTTACAGTCTAAATAAGACATGGCACACAAGGAAAAGGAAATGACTGTATTCTTCCCTCTCTCCACAGCCAGGGCAGAGCCTTTCATCTGCTTCCAGATCTAGGTATGATTGAGCGGTGCCTGCTTCTTCTTTTCTTCTGAGGCCATGGCAGTCATTATTGGGATGCAGGAAGGGTTTCTTATCTGCTTCTGGACATAGGAAATATAGAGTTGTGTTTTTGTCTTTCTACCTGAAAGTCAGGGTAGTGGCAGTTAGGATGAAGGGCTTTTCATCTGCTTCTGGACATAGATATGGAGCTATGCCTGCCTCTCCTTCTTTCCTTCTGATTCCAAAGCAGTGGCAGATAGGATGGAGAGGGGGTCTTTTACCTGGTTCTGTGCTTAGGAATGATGTCCTGTC